GCAGCGGGAACGCGGTGCCCAGGGCCAGTGCGCGCCGCATGTCGGCTTCCAGCAGGTCCAGGCAGCCGGAGAAGGCCACCCAGAGGCGCTCGAACTCGGCGCGCTCCTCGGCGCCCAGGCCCCGGTCGCGCAGCGCGGCCGTCAGCTGGGCGCGGGTGGCTACCGCCAGCTCCTGCGCCTTTTGGCGCGTCTTCTGCAGCTCCTCACGCAGGTTCTGCGAGTCCGCCGAGCCGCCGACGGTCAGCACCAGGTGGTGGTAGCATGCGGTCGCCTTGTTGAGAGCGTCCAGCAGTGCCTTGCACTCCTCCCTCGCCATGGCTGTGCGCTTCTGCGCAGCCCGGCCGCCCGCGCCCCTCTCCGGTCCACGCCCTCAGCTCGGCAGGACGCTGTCAGCCCCGACGGCGGCCCGGGGCCGGGCGGCCCGCGCGCTCCTCATGGCCCGACACTAGCTCGGTGCTGCCGCTGTTGTCGACGGAGCCTCTGAAGACCTGCGACGTGCACCTCTGCGGACCGGACGCAGAGAGGGAGCCCCGTTAGCTATCTCCCATTCCCTCGTCCATCCTCCCTCGATTCGCTCGGAGTCACACGCCGAGTCGCTGCACCGCCCTCGCCTGCAAGGTGGCTCTCTGCGAAGCCTGGGTTGTGGTCCCCATCCTTCTCAGGTGCCGTCGCCTGGGATAGCTGGCCGCCGAGCCGCGCGCTCCGCCTTAGCCGCTGCTGAGGGCTGCTGGGTCGGGTTTCTTAGGATTCGTCCACCCCCGCCCGTCCTCGGAGGGCACTTCCATCCCTTAGACCAGGGATGGGCGGGGCCCCGCGCGGGGAGATCACGTGTAGGTCCCCCATCTCCCCCTGCTCCTCTCCCCGTTACAGTTCTGGAATACTAGCGCTTGGCAGTTCCAACCCTCCGGTATCGTAAAGATGGAGAAACTGAGGCCCAGGTAAAGAAAAAAAGGGGGGGCCTAGGTCACGCGACGTCCATGCAAGTGAGGGAATCAGAACCCAGGGACCCTAACTCCCAGACCCTGCCAGCGACGGAGTGGTGTGCCTTATAGGACTGGGCACCTCCGTCCTCCAAACCTAGCAGTAAAGGGCGATTCGCAGGGCGGGACAGCTCCTGGGTCTCCCCATCCGGATCCAGCCGGCTTTCCAGGGACCAAGCTTGGACCCCACCTCTAGTGTCAGATCAGCTTCGGCCCGCCCCCTCCCGTTCCGGGCACGCGCAGTCGGCGACTCAGGGCTGGTCCGGCCTGAGTAGGAAGCGCTGTGCGCCGCCTGAGCCCCACCCCGGCTGGGAGGACTCAATGATTGCTCTGCGCACACGTCACTCTGGATAAGGACGGCCGCTCATTGGGCTGACCAGGTGCGGCTCCGCCCAACGGCGGAGTAAAGAGGTGGGCGGTGGAGCAGAACTGCTGTGCTGGGGTGGTGGGCACCGAGGTGAGAGTCCCGGGCCCAGGAGGCGTCGCCGTGGCTCCGAAAAGGACATGGAGTGAAACTATGTAGCCTTTTAAGTAAGTGTCCTCGCTCCTGTGTCATCCCGTGCCTCCCTTCCCTCAGGACGGCTGCGCCTCGGGGCCTAGAGGCCGGGCGGGGCCCCGGAGCTGGAAGGGGGAGGGGCTCTTTCCTCTTCGCGGCTAGCGCCCCGCGGCGCCCCCAGGCAGGGCTGGCAGCCCCTGGGCGGCACCCCAAGACCCTAGCTCCTCGCTGGCTGGACCGCCCCGCCCGCGCTCTGCGGGTCCCGTCGGCTGGGCTCTCTCTGCCCCTGGAGTGCGGGGTGGCGAAGAATGCGCCCTCTGACCCCCGCGACTACAGGACGGGTCAGCGGGTGCGGGGTCCTGGGAGCTCGGACTTGGGGGCAGTGGGCGGGGCAGTCGTTCAAGAGCTGAGTGACCTCGGTGGTTTGCGGACCGCCTGGCGGGGCCGCTGGAGGGGGAGGATGTGGGTGGGGGTCCGGAGCCTGGGGCCTTGTGGTCCCCGGGGGTGGTGAAGGCGCAGGGGAGGGAGGAGGGAATCCCTGCCTGCCAGCCTCTTGAGGGGCCGGGGCTCTTCGTTCTGCTGGGTAAAAATTACTCCAGGAAAACTTAGGCACCAAGAGATGTTCCGGACTCTGGGTCTGTTCAGTTCTTTTCGTTGAACATAGACTGCCCAAGGCGCGCGAGCTGGGTGGGCATGGCCCCTGCAGATGTTGGGAACTGGGGCATTAGCAGCCGGTGCAGGGCCACGGAGCAAACGACGCGTCTTCATTGAGGGTTTAGGACATTCAGGGAAGGAGGGGCTGGTGAGACTGGAGGGTCTACTGGTTTGCATGCGAGCTGGGGTTTTCCAAGTTTATGGGTTTCATGGGGAGAGGCCCTTATTTTGATTAACTCACCCTCCCACTAGCCCCAGAGAAGAGCAGGGGATCTTAGTGGGATATTAGCGTTTTGAGTCCACCTTCCCCAGCATGGTATTGAGGCGGTTCAGAAGATCCAGAGCACTGGGCCCCAGGGCTCCCTCACTCTGCGCTCTGTCCTTTAATCTATAGATTTGGGGCCATTTGTGGCCAGGACTTGGACGCTCCTGGCCTTGGCCATTCTCCATGGTGGAGGGTCTTAGCCACCCACTGACCAGATGGGGGCCTTGACAGGGAAAGAGAAGTTTTCAAGACAAAATAGAAGGAGGGAGAACCCATCACATTGGGGAGCTTTAGGGACAGCAGAGGGATACGAAGCTACAGAGATGGGTGGCAGGCCAGAATGAGAGGCCCTTAATGCCAGGAAGAGAAATTGAGAGTTCATTTAGTAGGGAGTAGAGGGGAAGTCCTGGAAGAATGTAGTAGCCCCCCCCCCCCACCTTTAGTCCATGGGGGATGTGTTCCAAGACCCCCAGTGGATGCTGGAAACCTCGGATAGTACCAAACCCTATACTCCATTTTTTTTTCCTATACCTACATACCTATGATAAGTTCAATATGTAAAGTAGGCACAGTAAGAAATTAACAAAAATAACTAACAAAATAGAATAATTATTAACAATATACCGTGATGAAAGTTATGTAAACGTGGTGTCTCTCTCTCTCTCAAAATATCTTGTGCTGTATTCACCCTTGTTGTGATGATGTGAGGTGATTAAATGCCTCGGTGATGAGATGAAGTGAGGGGAACGATATAGGTACTGAGTGTAATGTTAGCTGCTACTGACTTCCTGACCATATGTCAGAAGGCGGATGTTCTGTTTCCAGACCCCGGTTGACCACGGAAAAGTGAAACTGGAAAGCAAAACTGAGGATAAGGGGGACTCCTGCCCCGTAGTAGACCTCAGTGTTGGAAAGATTGCTTTGCCATCTTTCCTGTGGACCAGTCTGAGTAAGATCAGGAGGGCAGAGGCCTCTGAGGGAGAAGTGCAGGATGGGAGCAGGGACAGATGCTTGTGTTTAGCCTCAGTGGCAGGAAAGCAGTTGAGGCTCTGAAGTTGAGCAGATCCCTTGGGTGAGCTCTCCTCCCTCTGGCTTGCCACCAGAAATCATCCTGCCTGGCAGCTTCACTGGCAGAGCAAACAGTACTGTCTGCATAGGGCCTGGGGGTCAAGGGCTTGATTGTGTTTCCTTGTGGCTCTTGGACTGTGTTGGGCTCATGAGCGCAATTCCTGGGTCTTTGTTATTCACACATCTGCACTGCTAGTGTTTCTGTGGGTCTCTCCCTTTGTTTATGAATTGCCAGGATTAGGTTGGTGTCCTGTAACTCAATCCTCTACTAGAGGAGCAGAGGAACGTGACCATGTGAGGATAGATCTAGAAAGGATTCAGACCCAAATCCAGGGGTGGTGGTGCTCCTCCAAACTCTCCTGCTCCCTTAGTGGTCACACCCCTCTTCCAGCTCTGAGGCCTTCCCTCCCTGTGTGACTCTCCACATTCCAGCTGTCATAGCCAGCTCTGAGTTTATAGTTTGTTTCCGGCTTTCTGCTGGTGCCTGCATGGCTGCCTGGGGCCAGCCCCTCACCCTTCCCTGGATATGGGCAGTGGATTTCCAGCTTCTGTGAGAGATGACCCCTCCCTGGGAGCTTGAGCTTCCTCTCACCCCACTATCATCTTGTTCTAGTGGACGAACAGTTACAGCATGCCTACCGTGAGCCACGTGGCCAGGCACAGACTGGACACTTTGAAGAAGAGCTTTGAGAAAAATATGGATAGGATCCATAAATGGTACAGGCCAGGAGGACATAAATGACTGTAATATCATACATTACATCATCCAGTTGCTTCCATTTGCTATTAAACAGATGAATTAGAAAGTTTTCCCTTTTTGCCTTTCCCTTTTGCATCGCAAATTAAACTGGTTGGAGAATAATGCTCATCCTTTGGAAAATATGCCTGGTGTGGGTCTTTGGTGAGCGCCCTCACCAAAGAGTGAGAACAGCCATAGCAGTGAGATTTCAGCTGGGGGTTTATCTCTGGGAGGCACAGACGTTCCTATGCTGGATTCTGCTGAGCCAGGCTGCACACTGTCACCAGATGGGGACACCTGACCACCCAGCCTCATGGGACAGTTGTAGACCACAAAACCACAAGTGCGCACACCACCCCATGAAATGTCCGGTACTAGTTTGAGATCATGCCTGGCTCTCCTGTTCATAGAGTTAACCTCAGATAACTCGTGTTCAGGGGGTATTTGGTATCTCTGACTAATTTCCCTGGATTTGCTGTAAATCATCCAACCATTTGAGCTTAGGCAGAGGTGGAATTTTTTTTAAAAGGAGTTTTAGAAGAGGATTTACTCCTCTTTCCAGTTTTATAAGGAACAGTCAGTTTACTTTTCATGATATAAAACAAATTCTTGCAAGTAAAACTTGTGAGGGCGTTAACCTGTGTTAAGTATTTACCCCCTATTTAAGAATTCCATTCTGGCATTAAGCACCTGATTGTATTGGATTCTTATATGTTTTAAGCACTGGGACAAAAAGTTTGAGAAGAGCATTGGACAGTGCTCTTCGAATCCCTACTCCTGGACAGAGGGTTCAGTCATTGGCAACCAAAAGGAATGATGTCTAAGAGAAAACAAGATGACTTGGGGCTGAAACCCAGCAAGCTCTGTCCCATTCACCAGCAGTGCTTGCTCCGAGTCTTGTGTGTTTCATGCATTTGAACTGAATGTTTTGATGTGGCATTCAGGGGCCTCCCCTCACCCTGCTGTCCCTCTCTGACCAGCACTGTTTGGATTCCTGTTATTTCCCTGGACTCATCTTCTCATCAATTAAAAAATTTTTTTACTCTTGGGTTTTCTGTGCCCACAGGAACCTGTTCCTGCTTCCTCTGCTCCCCACCCCAGCCCCCTTCCCTGCTGCTCCCTTCTCTGGTCCTTACCTGTCTCAGCACTGCTCTGGGTTGGTTTTACTCTGCGGATGCACATTCCTTGCCTACCAGCTAGGTTGTTACTTCCTGCATCAGAGCCCGTCCTTGTCACCTCTATCTTGGGTGTAGAGGGGTTGGAGCTCTGCCGGCATCTCGTCTGAGGAGCAGAAGGAGGGTCCCTTCCCAGCTTCATTCTGACCGTATGGCATCCTGGCTCTCATGGGGTTTCTGTCCAAGGTGTCTTTACTTTTGTACTTGCTCATGTAGAACCGATTGTGTCAGAAACCAGAAACAATTTTGTTTTCTTGTGACTCTGTCCCAGCAAAATCACATTATCCAGTTGTTCTGGTTAGGGCCTCATAAAAGGATTATTTGGGCTGCAGTAATAATTGAATTCAACAAGTCAAATACCTGAATTGTTGTAGAGCTGTCTCTGGGGTCCAGGAAGAGATTATATGTAACCTTTTTCATGCTAGGCTCTTCCCCTAAGAGGCCTTGCAGGGAGCTCAAGGGCCTCCTTGAGGCAGTCCCCAGGAGGGCCTGCAGCAGAGACAGTTCTGGCTGGACCAGACCGAGGAAATTCAGTGTAGGGCCCATGTGGCTGTCATGGTGACTTTTCCTTTGGGGGAAATGAAGTATGGAATCTCTGCATCTGTGGGTTGTGATATAACCCTTAACCCAGGCATATTTATTTTACAGTGGGTATAGTGGCTAAAGAGGAGAATGTTAGAATAAATTCTGACATCTGTATAACCTCACGTTGGCCAACTGAGCCTCAGTTTCTTCATCTGCAAAATATGGGGCTAATGATATCAATAGTTATTGTGAGCATTGGTTGTAATTGGTTGCCTGTAGTTATCATGAACATGAAAGTGGGATGAGGATGAATAGAAGTTATCACAGTACCTGAACCAAAGATGCTCTCAAATAGGGGCTGTTTTTATCATTAGCCATAACAGAATTCATAATGTACTTACTTATATGTGTTGTCCTGGCATTTTCCCAAGAAAGCATGTTGGAATATTGTTTCATAGTAAGAAAGTAATTCAGTTTTTATTCATATTTCATTTATCTGATTGTATCAAGGGTAAGTTTACTTGATGCTCTTTAATAGTTGCTAATTTTCTCTTTTAAAAATTTTTATTATTTATTTATTTGAGAGAGAGAGCCCACAGGTGTGGGGGGAAGGAGCAGGGGGAGAGGGAGAAAGGAACTCAAGCAGACTCTACACTAAAAGTGGAGCATGATGTGGGGCTCGATCTCACGATCCTGAGATCACAACCTGAGCCGAAACCAAGAGGCGGACGCTTAACTGACTGTACTACCAAGGTGCCCCATCTAATTTTCTCTTTTTTAAGAAGAGGTCTCAGGCTCAAGCTCAGAATGTTTGGCAGGCAGTAGTATCTAGCAAGGTTTTACATAATGTCCATTGTTCTTGCAATTTTTTTTTTTAAAAGATTTTATTTATTTATTTGAGAGAGAGAATGAGAGACAGAGAGCACGAGAGGGGAGAGGGTCAGAGGGAGAAGCAGACCCCCCGCTGAGCAGGGAGCCCGATGCAGGACTCGATCCCGGGACTCCAGGATCATGACCTGAGCCGAAGGCAGTTGCTTAACCAACTGAGCCACCCAGGTGCCCTGTTCTTGCAATTTTTAAAAAAGATTTTTATTTATTTGAGAGAGAGAGTAAAAGAGAGCACGAGCAGGGGGAGGGGGAGAGGGAGAAGCAGACTCCCCACTGAGCAGGGAGCCTGACACAGGGCTTGATCACGCAGCATCGAGATCATGACCTGAGCCCAAATCAAGAGTCAGACACTCAACCAGCTGAGCCATCCAGGCACCCTGGAGTATACTGTTTTTATATTTAAAGTTGTAATAAGGGTTCTTTTAAAAATAAATTTGAAAAGAGAGTAGGTGTTTAAAGGAATATGTCAAATACTAACAGTAGAGCCTTTGTGTACAATTACGCAGATTATTGCATAGGTACTCTGCCCAGGAGAGTGAGATGTTGGCAAACTGGGGCTGATAAATAGCCTGTGAGCTACTTACCAAGCCATGTGCCCTGGCATAGGACTGTTGTACCTACTGGGTGCCTTTTTCTAATTCTAACAAAGACACCATGTAGGCCAGCAGTAAGTGGTGGTCCATTAGTATGCAGTATGGCAAAAATACTGAAGGCAGCATGTAAATGGGAGTCCTGCAAGACAGGTGTTTATATTCTCCATTGCACCACTTGAGATGGAGGCTCAGATTCTTTTTCTGTGCCCATTTTTCATATTCCTCTCTGATAGCTCAGTGAAACTACACTCATGTATGGTAAATGGAGCAGACCAGGGGCAACGGAAGCCCCATTCACAACAGGAGAAAATCTATACAGAATATACAAATAATGTTTAATAAAAGTTGTTTATAATCAATTTAATTGGAGGACATCAAAGAAGACATACATGGAAAGACATACCACGTCCATGGATGATGAGATTCATTATTATCAAGATGTTGACTCTCCAATCCATAAATTTAGTGAATTTCTACTAAAAATCCCAAAAGGATTTTTATGGAATTGAGGAACTGATTTAATTTATGGGATATTGCAAAAAAAATTAGGAATAACCAGACAATTTTGGAGAACAAGGAGGGAGGCCTTTCTCTATGAGATATCAAGGCTTATTATGAAGCTGTAGTCATGTAAACTAATGTGGTCTAGCCCTGCTCTGTCCAGTATAATAGCCACTAGCCATATGTGGCTTTTAAGCCCTTGAATGTGGCTAGTATGAATTGAAAAGTGAATGTAAAATACACACCAAATTTTGAAGATTTAGTAGGAGTAAAAAAGAGTGTAAAATATGTCATTAATAAAATTTTAAAATATTGATCACATGTTAAAAATACAATATTTTGGATATATTAGGATAAATATATTATTAAAATTAATTTCACCTGTTTGTTTTTTCATGTGGCTACTAGAAAATTTTAAATTATGTATGTGACTATGCATAGTGTATATGTAATTACATTTCTTATATATCTGTTGGATGGCACTGGTCTAGACTGTTGAAATAGAGTAGAGCTCAGAAACAGGCCACACATATATGGGAACTTAGAATATAGCAAAGGTAGCATTATCGGCCAGTGCAAAAGGGATAGACTGTTCAAAAAAGGATAATGGGACAATTGGCTTATGCTATGGACTGAATTTTTGTGGCCCCCCCCATTCATATGTTGAAGTCCTAATCCTTAATTTAGAGGATCAGAGAGTTATTTAGGGGATCAGAGAGGGGCACAGGGGGATTCCATTCTATTCTTTTTTTTTTTTTAAGATTTTATTTATTGTAGAGAGAGCATGAGCAGGGGAAGAGCAGAGGGAGAGGGAGACAATCTCCAGCAGACACTGATCACAGAGCCCTATGTGGGGCTCGATCCCATGACCCTGAGATCATGACCTGAGCTGAAACCAACTGTTGGATGCTTAACCGACTGAGCCACCCAGGTGCCCCTCCAGTCTATTCCAATATACTTTACTTCTTAGAAGAAAGTCTGAGGCAAACATGGTAAAATGTTAAGATTGGGTAGTTCTGGGTGACAGGTTTGCATTATTCTTCTTTATTTCTCTATATGCTTAAAATATTTCATTAAAATATATGCATAAAATAGCCATTTTAACTTTTTGCAATGACTTGGAGTTTGACGAGATTTTTTCAGATGTATTTGAGAGAGGGATAGAGCGCGCACTCACGCATGCGCCAGGGCAAGAGCAGGTGAAGAGGGAGAAGCAGGCTCCCGGAGTAGGGAGCCCCATGTGGGGATCATGACCTGAGCCGAAGGCAGATGCTTAACCGACTGAGCCTCCCACGCGCCCCTGAACAAGATTTCTGAACATAATTTTTGCAATTAACCAGTAAAAAAGTCATCTTGGAATTGGTGGGTTATCTTTGATATTTCCTGTAGAGTAATACATGTCAGAGATGCTTTTTAGAAATTGCCAGATCAGGACTTTTATTTGTTGTATAAATTTAAAAGTGGTCATTTACTGCTTTTTCTCCTCTTGTCCCAGGAGACTCTCTTTGCCCCATCTGAAGTCCATATGGCTCTGTATGATGAAGATCTCCTGAAAAATCCTTTCTATTTGGCTCTTCAAAAGTGGCGTCCTGACTTATGCAACAAGGTGGCCCAAACCCATGGCATTGTAAGTGCACTGATCCTGAGGGTTGTCCTTCTCCATCAGGTGTGGACCAAGCCGTGTTGATAAGGCCAGAAATACCGTACACTTTGGTTACGTTTAGAGGGAGTCAGTTACAAACCTGCCGAGTGTAACAAGCGCCAGACCATGCTCAGTACGAGCACAGGCAGAGAGAGACCACCACGTGCTGCCTCCTCCAGGAACCCTCCTGGCTCTGCACCAGCCTTGGGTGTAATCCTTTCTCTGTTGACAGCCCCTGTTGACACTGATGTCATGGTATTCGTCTTGTTTCTCTTTCCACGTTGACTTGAGAGCTTCTGGGGGCAGAAAGCGTATTTCCCTCAGGGCATCATGGGTCCTTGTCTGTGAGGTGTGTGCTTACTCACATAGAATAAAGGAACATGTGAACACATTTGTATGTTGCTTTGAAAGGCATCTCCTCAAGGGGAAGAACCGGTGGAATAATCGAGGCATCCAGATGGCAGGACGAGGGGAGCACATGAAAGAAACCTGCTGCCTGCAGGGAGGCGGGCTGTCCATGAGGTGGCAGGGGGAAAGTCCTCCAGGATTCCCAGGTGGATTAGGGGTGGGTGCATTTGCCTATAGGAGAAACAAAAATTACACAGGGAGATTAAATTTGTTCCTCTTATTGTGAACTCTCTCTCTCTTTTTTTTAAGATTTATTTATTTTATTTGAGAGAGAGCGCATGGTGTGGAGGGGCAGAGGGAGAGAGAGAATCTCAAGCAGACTCCCCGCTGAGCATGGAGACCAACCCAGGGCTTGATCCCATGACCCTGCGATCATGACCCCAGCCGAAATCAAGAATCAACAAGAGTCATGCTCAACCGACTGCCCCACCCAGACGCCCCTATTGTGATCTTTTAATTATGGGGTATGTAGGCTTTTGAGGGCTAGCCTGGGAACCTGTCAGCATGTCTTTTGAGGGCTAGCCTGGGAACCTGTCAGCATGTCTTCCAAGTTTCAAAGAACTGACTTTCAAGTAAAATACCTAGACAGGCCAGCTAAGGGCACTGAGGTCTATATTCTAGTTCTTAGGATTCCTTTGGCCTAGATCCAGCCAACAAACATTCGTTGAGCATCCACTAGGTGCCAGGCACCGTGCCGGGTTTCCAGGATCGCACAGATGAGTGGGGGAATGCAGCATGCCTTTGGGGAATTCCAGAAGCTGACCGTTGTTGATCGCTCAGAAGAATGGGTGTCAGGACAGAAGTCACCCTAACATTCCCTGGGGGAGGAGTCAGGAGGGTACTCTGGAGTAGCGTCATGAATGCTGATTCTTGCTTTTATTCTACTGTCTTTTCTTTAATAACTGTTATTTAAAAATTCTTTATAAAGAGACTAGAATAAAAAGTTGTATTGTTAAGCTTTAAAATAAGCAGGTCCCCCACTACGGTCTACCCGTAAGAGACTCTAAACTTTGTGTCCTCCACACAGGCTGTAATGCCCATGACATCTCCAGAAGTCTGAAGCACTGTCTTGGGAGAGCCCCGAAGGCACTTGCACTTGACCCCGCCTCCTGTGGGCAGCTTCCTGGCTGCTCCATGTCCCCAGCCCCAGGGGCTGGCTTCCTCACCCTCCCTCTCAGCCAGAGAGTCCAGCTGCTGGATTCTGCTTGTAATGAAATGCTCTGGGCAGCATTGTCTGCCTGGAAACTGAGTGAGGGGAGGGGGTCCTTGCTATTGGAGGACTCCTATTCATTCAACAAACATTGATTGGACACCTACTGGATGTCGAACAGTGAGGTCGGTAACAGGGATACTACGCAGCCGGAGCCCGTCGTACTTTATTTAAGTTAGGGAGGCAGACAAGGCATACGTGAACAGGTAAAAAGAATGTAGTCACAGCTGGAGTGAGGTTCTCCAAAGCACCTCAGAAGTTCCTGGTCTCTCACATGGGACCGTATGACTCCTTCATCCGTAGAGCAGGTGTGGGACCTTCTCTTGGCCTCCCTGAGTTAGGGCGTTAAACACCCTGCAGGTCTGCTTCATGGCGTTCCCATGCCTGTGGCCAGTCCTCGGGGTCCCAGGCTCTTCTTCCTGTGCTCCCTGAGGCTGTGAGGAGGTTGTTTCTCAATTCAGGCTTATATCTGAGGGCCTATCTTTTCTTTATTTTATTTTTATTTTTTCCCCCTTTTTAAGTTTTACTTTTATTAAAATTTAAAATTATTTTAAAGTGATTTTTTTTTTTTTATTAAGTAATCTCTATGCCAGACATGGGGCTCGAACTATGACCCCGAGATTGAGAGTCGCGTGCTCTATTGACTGAGCTCAATTGCAAACATATGATAAAAGTAGAAAGGGTAATATAATGAGCCCCATGCACCTGTCACCCAGCTTCAGCAGTGATCCATTCGGTGGCCCATCAGATGTCCTTTCTGCCCCCTCCTGCCCTCCACCCGCGGCCACTGGATTATTTTGAAGCACATCCCAGAAAATTATGTCGGGTAGTCATGCAGTTTCGTCTGTAGATATTTAGGAACGTGTCTTTAAATGATAAGGACTCCTAAAAAAAAGGTAACCACAATGCCATTATCACAGCTAAAACTTTCCACAATAATTCTTCAATATTATCCACTATCTAGTCCCTGTTCAGATTTCCCAAATCATCTCATAATTGTCTGTTTCACGGTGGGTTTGTTCAGATCAGGGTCCAGAGGAGGTCCACACGTCACACTGGATGGATGAGTCTCCACGTCTGTCTTTCCTCCTCATTGCCAAGCTCAAGTGACGTGTGCAGAGGCGCATGCCCCGTGTGTGAGGTGTGGTCAGTGTTGACATGCGCATGGCCTTGGGAAACCGTGTCCACAGTGTTCCGCTGCTTTTTCGTTTTATCTTCCCCTTTCCTCGTTTTCTTTCTTTGTGTCTCTGCAGTGTGTTCATCCGGGTTCCCCGCACTCTGGCTCTTGCCAGTGGCAGTCCCATGGGTAGTGCTGACAGGGTCCTCTGTTCACCGTACTTCCGGAAACTGGTGGTTTGAGCTAGATGTGGATCTGATTCTGTCTCGGTTTTTTGAGGAGGGGCCAGGCCATCTTGTCAGCGTTCTCCCATCCACAAGTGCCACCTTCTGCTCTGAGGAGTTGGTGTGCCCCTCTGTGTGGGGAGAGGCCGAGCTGCCCGAGGAAGCCCCGGGTGACGGGCTCTCATGGCTGCGGTTTCACCGACCGTGTCTTTGCTGGGGGAGCTCCAGGGGGGTCTGGGCTGAGCCTCCAGCGCTGGTTCCGGGAAGTGGCAGGAGTTTGCATCAGGGCCCTACCACTCACTGGCCGCGAGACCCTGGACAGTTTCCTTAGCTCCCTTGAGCCTCAGTTTCCTTGTCTGTAGGATGGGGATAGCACGGAAGCCGTATGCTTTGGGCTGGGTTGCTTCAGGAGGTGGGGTTCCAAGGGTCTACACCGCCTTGGGCGTCTTCCTTCCGAGTACACTTGAGTCTGAGAGAGTCCCTGAGCCGCCAAGGCGGTGGTGTGGTGGCCACGATCGGGCCACAGTTCACCTCTCAGATGGAGCCCGCCCCAAGGACAGAGCCTGGCACCCCGAGACAGCTCGGCAGAGGTGGCTGTTTGCTACAGGAAACCCTGTTTCTGCGGCTCATATTACAAACTGTGATCACAACTGGGCTTAAAAAAAACAGAGAAAAAAGACGGGAAGGAAACCGTCTTCAGGGTGCAGTGTTTCTCCTCATTCAGGTGGCGGGATTACGTGTGACTTTTTAGGTTCACTTTTCTCTTCTTTCCAGACGACCCTGTCTTCCTCTGGAGTCGTCCCCGAGCCTGTTGAGAATAGACTGGGCGCCTGGCGTTGGCTGTGGGAGGGGGGACCCAGTGGGTGTGGGAACAAGCCTGGGGGCCTGGGTCCAACCCCTCTGCCCAGGTCGGGGGTTGTGGCTTTGCCACCAGGACGTCCGTGACCCCAGTCGCTTGGTTCCAGACGGAACCAAGAGGTTAGTGACAGGACCTCGTTCAGATGTTCCAGATGCCCCCCCCGCCCCCGCCCCCCCGGCTTTCTGCAGCTCTAAGTGGCACATCTCGTACTCTTCACCCTGCTTATTGTTTCCAGGTCCTGGTGCCCTGCAAAGGAAGCTTGCCGAGCAGCGTTCAGTCCACTTGTCAGTTTGAGTCCTACATTTTGATACCCGTGGAAGAACACTTTCAGACCTTAAATGGAAAGGTATTCATTTCTTTGTGGGTCAACCAGGGTCCCTCACTCAGTGTTTGGTAATGGGGGTGGGGGGCAGGGGTTTCCAAATCTGACCCTGTCCCAGCTGTGGTAAATGATGGCTCTAACACGCACAGCAGCCTGTGGCCTGGGCTTGGAGGGCCCCCTGCCTTTGAGGAAAGAGGAGATGGTAATGGGGAGCAGGGCCTGGCTGGGCCTCTGCCCGGGAGGAGGGCGGGTGGAGGGGTGGGGGGGTGGGGCATCTCTCCCTCAGCGCAGGGGCCTCCTGCTGGTAAGTCGGGGAGTCTCTGGAACATCTGAACGAGGTCCTGTCACTAACATCTTTTATCCCCGTGCTCTTGAAAGACGAATCAGTTTCTTGGCCACAAATAGTAGATCAGGGGTGAATTTTAACTTTTTAAAAAACGTTCTTAAAAAAAAAAATGTTATTGAAACTTAAATAAGCCAAAACAAAAAACAAAAACCAAAAAACAAGCATGTTATTAAAACTTCAATAAGCCAAAAAAATAAATAAATAAGAAACATTCTTTTGAAATAATCTCAAACCTAGAGAAAGCTTCAGTAAAGCACAAAGAACTCTCCTATACTCTTCCCCCAGATTGGTCAGCCGTGAGCATTTTGGCCACATTTGTTTTATCAGTCCCTCTCCCCCACACCCCCACGCGCTATTACTGCTTTTCTTTAAGCCTTTTTCACAAAAAGTAAGAGTGAGTTGCAGACACCATGTCCCTTTATTCTAAAATGCATTTTCTGCGTAACTTAGCAGCAGAGTGATCACACTCAGGAAAGTGAACTGTTCAACACACTGTCCTCATACAAATTGTGCTAATTATACAAGTAATGTCCTTCTGTAGAAAATCTTTTTTTTCTTTTTAGATCCAGAATCCTGCAATGCCTTCAGTTGCTGGTCTTTTTAGTTTCCTTTGATTTGGTGCAGTCCTCGAGGGGTCTTTGTCTTTCATGACACTGATGGTTTTGCTTTGTAGACTCTCCCTCAGCCTGGGGTTCCCAGAGGTTCCCTCACGGCTGGAAGGGTGTTTTATTTTTCTCAGCGTGTCATGACAAGAGACACATGACGTCAGTCTGTCTCATTGTTGATGTTACCTCTGGGGTCCGCGTTTTCTTATTTTTTAAGGGGAGGTAGAGAGATTCTGGGAGGGGGGTGTTCTGTTCCTTGCCAGGAGTGGTGTGGGCCCAGGTGCATTTGGGGCAGCTCAGTCCCTCGGACCCGACAGCCAGGGCTCACGTGGGCCTGTGGCGGGACAGAAGGGACAGGACAGGACACGGGGTTACTGGAACACCAGCTTGAGGGGGTTGGGGATCAGCAGCCCTGTTCGCCCTGCTAGTCACTGCTAGTTTGTTCTCTTCAGGGAAGTCAAATCTACCAGGAGAACAGAGGAGTCAGGCTTATCATGGCTCGTCTGCCCGGGTACCCCAGCCGTGTCCAGAATGCTGAATGTGGCAGGGACGGCAGCGTCCCTTCCCTGGTCCCATGCAGCACCAGGCCATTCCAGGAGAGCCTTCTTCCTTCCTCCTTTCCCAGAGGGTACAGGTTTTCTTCTGCTCCAAGGACCAGCTTAATGCATGTCTGTCACAATATTTAAAAAGGATCAGCTGTAGCTATAGGGTGAACAAAGAGGAAAGAAAACATTTTAGTATCAAAAAGCAACATGGGAGAGTGTTCATGCCTGCCCTGCAGAGCTCTACTGGAACAAAGGTGTGCAGGTCGGAAGCAGCGCCGTATCGGGGACCAGGCGGAGGGGGGATCGACGGTCACCCCCGGCCACTGGCGCAGTGACGGCTCTCTTGTTCCAGGATGTCTTTATACAAGGAAACAGGATTAAATTAGGAGCTGGTTTCGCCTGTCTTCTCTCAGTGCCCATTCTCTTTGAAGAAACTTTCTACAATGAGAAAGAAGAAAGTTTCAGCATACTTTGTATAGCCCATCCTTTGGAAAAGAGAGAGAGTTCAGGTATTCTGGGAGAAAAACCCCTTTCCGCTGATTTGGAGAATTGTGTTTGTTGAACTTCCTCCTGACATAGCTGTGGTAAACATCCCATAAAATATTCAAGAGCCTGCTAGAAGCCTGCCTAACTTTACAGTAATTCCCCAGAGCTTAATCAAAAAGTCATCCTGAGCTAAGACAGTGTGGCTGGGGGCTGCTGTGTATGGTTGCACAGGTTGGACATTACACAATTCTGGGAGGCAACATCGATGTAGACCTCTGTGTGAACGTGGCCCCCTGGAGCTGTACAGGGTGGTTTGACCTTGGGCCTCAGTGTTAGAACTAACTCTTATACCATTATTGCCCACCCAGCCCCACTATTGTGCCTCTTTGAGAGCTCATTATTTTTAATAATAATTCTTCAGTTCTTCCAGGAAACTGAGACAACCATGTGCTAAATGTACTCTGAGGCCTGTATTGCCAGGAATCAGGGGTTGTTCACCAGAGCCTCATAGGTCATGCCCACGGTTTCAATTTGTTTTGTCCAAGGAAAGGGCTTCAAGAGGGCCAGGCTCTCTGGACCCTGAGCTGTCCTGTAACGAGGCTGCTCTTGGGCAGTATCTTGAAATAATTCCTGTCCTCTCCTGGAAGATGGGGCTCCAGACCCTGGGGGAGCAGGGCAAAGGATGTGGTACTTCCCCCATTAGGAAACTGTGAAGGCTTCAGCCAGCCTGACCCTTTGTCTCTTTTTTCAGAAGAGCCTTCAACATCTTCAGATCCCTTTACCCTGAAAACCATCGAAGATGTGAGGGAGTTTTTGGGACGACACACGGAGAGATTTGACAGGAGCATTGCTTCTTTCCAGCGAACGTTCAAGGAATGTGAAAGAAAGAGCCTCCGTCAACACATAGTCAGTAGCTGTGTCTTGCTTTGCCAGGGTGCCCTGGCTCAGGCCGGTTCAAGAAATGGGGATCCCTCTCAGTGCACTCTGAAACTGTGCTGCCTCCACTGTTGGAAGCTTTACTTAAATGTTTCCTTCTAACAATAAAAGTAGTCAAGCCACTGGAGAAAACTTGAACCTGACAAAGTATAAAAATGAATATTGTTATCACCTATGTGAACCCCAAGGGAAATTTTCTCTAACCCTTCATGCCTATACACTTTAAAAAAAAAAAAAAAAAGCAGGGCGCCTGGGTGGCTCAGTTGGTTAAGCGACTGCCTTCGGCTCAGGTCATGATCCTGGAGTCCCGGGATCGAGTCCCGCATCGGGCTCCCTGCTCGGCAGGGAGTCTGCTTCTCCCTCTGACCCTCCTCCCTCTCATGCTCTCCGTCTCTCATTCTCTCTCTCTCAAATAAATAAATAAAATCTTTAAAAAAAAAAAAAAAAAGTGGAAAAAAAAATCACATAATTATTTGATAAGCCTGTATCAGGACTTAAAGCTTTTCACCCAGGAAGTGCATCTTGTGAAATGTTCTGGCTCTGGGATGCGTGACACGTTTTGGGTTTTGTGTTGGGGCCTTGGGTTATGAGTGACCTGTTTCTCTGCCGTGTGTTGCACAGGACTCGGTGAATGCTCTCTACACCAAATGCCTCCAGCAGCTTCTGAGGGACTCTCACCTGGTAAGCAGCAGGACTTTCAAAAGAGAGAACTGCAGTTTGCCCACATGCCAGTCCAAGCTCTTTAACGGTACCTTCTTGTCCTGCAGAAAATGCTTGCCAAGCAGGAGGCCCAGATGAATCTGCTGAAGCAGGCAGTGGAGGTAAGAGGCCAGGCCAGTGCAGGGAGAGGAGGCAGTGGTGCGGGGGGAGGGGGAGGCTCTCCTGGTCCCCTCTGCACACTCGGAACGGCGGTCTGTTCGTTGATTCCACAGATGTACGTCCAGCATGATATTTATGATCTGATCTTTAAATATGTGGGGACCATGGAGGCAAGCGAGGTAGGTCCTAAATCCCCGTCATCCCGGTTGGAAGCCTTTTATCCTTAGCCGTTTAAGAAGTTTGAAGCTTCGTTAAAATCTGTTGTTAGGATGCTGCCTTCAACAAAATCACGAGAAGCCTTCAAGATCTTCAGCAGAAGGACATTGGCGTGAAACCTGAGTGCAGGTAAGAGTTTGCACTGCCGTAGCTCGGCATCCTCAGAGGCTGGGGCCTCTGCTCCTGGAAGCAGGGCTCTCAGCGGCAGGGACCGCACACTGTTTTGGCCTGGTTCATACCGAGGAACAGCGCGGTCACTTGTGACCAAAGATAAAGGACTGAGGTTGGCAGATGTCACCCTCCTGAGCTGGGTAGGAACTCAAGGGGTGGGGGTTTCGCACAGCTGGTCTTTTGACCTGCTTTTGAATTAATTTATGTTTCTTTAGGATACAAAAATGTCTTGTGTTTATGCTGAAACTATTTTAACTCCTTTGAGCTATCTCACTCTGGGGCTAAGGGTTTTTATTTTTATTTTCTCCTAATTTTCTGGCGCAGCTATAATACCATTTTGCATCCTGAATGGGACATGCAAAGGTGTTGAGTTTTGCCACTCATTTGAGTCCGATTGCTCCCGAGTTTCTGTTTTTGTTCGTCGTTACTTACGGTTTGTCTGTAAGCAGAGTAAATCTGAGGTATGCTATTAGATCAGGGAAGAAGGGCCCTCCCACTGTGGTCTTAAGTTGTCACTTTCCAAATTATTTTGCAGCTTCAACATACCTCGTGCAAAGAGAGAGCTGGCTCAGCTGAACAAGTGCACCTCCCCACAGCAGAAGTTGATTTGTTTGCGAAAGGTGGTGCAGCTAATAACCCAGTCTCCCAGCCAGAGAGGTTTGTGCTCAGGGGAGGGGCCTGGCGGTGGAGTAGACACTTAACGTCCAGATGCAAAAGTCTGTTAAGGAGCAGTGTCGTCTTCAAGGATCACACAGCTGGGCTGATGTGCCGCAGAGCATCCCTGTGTGAGCACCCCGGAGTCTGCTCTGATACCTGGGTGCCTAGCGATGGGGGCTTGGGGGTAGGATAGGCAAGATAAGGGTAAGAGAACAGTGGCGGAGAAGAAGCGGCCTCAAAAGCAAGCCAAGCTTCCTCATACCTGCATGGGTGCCACAAAGCTGGTCTATAAATCAGAATCCAAGCCACACAGGTTATTTGAGAACCTGACTTTGCGATAGCTTTGGGTTTCCAGAATGACACTGTCCACAGCTCAAGTCTGAGCTTGCCAAGGTACAGCAATGTGTATGATTGACTTTAAGCTTCCTGTTGTGTGTTCTCTTGAAGTTGTCATGGTGCTAGGGTGTGGGTATATGGCCCCATCAGGACATTCACTGCCGACTGTTTAGTCCAGGGCCGCACCGCTCACCGGCCTCCTTTGGCAGCTGTGTTCCAGCCTGAAGCTGTTCCATTGACAAAATTTTTTTTTTTAAAGATTTTATTTATTTCTTTGACAGAGAGAGACACAGCGAGAGAGGGAACACAAGCAGGGGGAGTGGGAGAGGGAGAAGCAG